CGGGTCTATCCGGCAGCAGCGTGTGCCGCCGGGAAACGGTGTCAGGAATTTCAGATGCCTCCGTAGCGCTTTCGAGACAGCATCGCCTTGTGCGATGTGTAAATACGTGAAGTTAAGCCGGGCTAATTGTGGAGAGAAAGCGAGCCCAGCTCCATTCCCAGGAGCTTTGGCTTTATACATTTACCCTGAGCTTCTCCCCAGCTCCAATTCTCGCTTTTCGCTAATTAACCGCCGCTCACTCCAGGCTTTGCATCCCGAAGCTGTTGGGTATTTACCGCTTGTTCACGAGCGTGGGCTGAACGTGCACCCCCGTTGCACTGGGTGTTTCCCGTGTTAAAACTCCCTGCTCTCCGTAAAAGGAATAGCACGGAGAGCACGAAGCAGCCGGAGGGACCCGTGGGGAGCAGGCAGGGGAGCCCAGCAGCCACCACCGGGCTCAGAACGGGGAGTTTAAAGGAATAGTAGGTAGATTGGCAGGCAGGACTGCAAGTAAACGGAAGAAAAACGAGAGAAAACCAGACAACAAATCATCCCTGGGTAAAAAAAAAACTCAGACAGCTGTAGTTTTGACAAGTGTGCTTCGGAAGGGAACTCTCCAGCTTTTCTGTTTACATATATGCAAATTTTTCTGTAATTCGGCGCTGAGGCTTCCCTAGTAACACAGGGAGCCTGCGTTCCGTTGTTCTGCAGGCTCAGTTCTTACCCGTTTTGGCTTCCCCAGCTCTGCCCTGCTGCAGCAGAGGACAGGGTCTCTGAGGCCTGTGGTGGTGCCACCCGTGCAGGTGCTGCTCAGGTTCCTGCCAGAGAACTGCTCAGCAAACCCGTGCTGCCTTCAGCTACCTCGGGTGTATTTTAAGAAACAAATGAAGCTCTTGTGCGGGGTGATGATTCACAGCATAGCAGACCCATTAATACATTTAAACACAAAATGCATATGCCATAAAGGGATATCCCAGGGCCTGCATTTTCCTTTTTTTTTTTTCCTTATCCCCTCCCCCAGAAATACAATTCCATGAATGTCTGTGGATTGTTCCGGACCAACCCCCCGCAGCCCTGCAAACGGGCTGTTTGACTTCATTCCTCTCACGGGCAAAACACGCTGGAGGATCCATCAGGCCTTTGTTTTACTTTTCCCTTCCTGGAAGTTTCATGACGGGGATGCTGCTGCCGGGTGAATTTAGGTGAACCCAGCATGTGTGGGGCTGCTTCCTACGACTGAGGTGATGAGGGGGGGGGTTGGAGAGGAGGGGTGGTGCCAGTGATTTCGGGAACAGAGGAAGGGTGTAGACACATCATCAAATTAGTAATGGACCGAACGGGGAGTTTAAAGGAATAGTAGGTAGATTGGCAGGCAGGACTGCAAGTAAACGGAAGAAAAACGAGAGAAAACCAGACAACAAATCATCCCTGGGTAAAAAAAAAACTCAGACAGCTGTAGTTTTGACAAGTGTGCTTCGGAAGGGAACTCTCCAGCTTTTCTGTTTACATATATGCAAATTTTTCTGTAATTCGGCGCTGAGGCTTCCCTAGTAACACAGGGAGCCTGCGTTCCGTTGTTCTGCAGGCTCAGTTCTTACCCGTTTTGGCTTCCCCAGCTCTGCCCTGCTGCAGCAGAGGACAGGGTCTCTGAGGCCTGTGGTGGTGCCACCCGTGCAGGTGCTGCTCAGGTTCCTGCCAGAGAACTGCTCAGCAAACCCGTGCTGCCTTCAGCTACCTCGGGTGTATTTTAAGAAACAAATGAAGCTCTTGTGCGGGGTGATGATTCACAGCATAGCAGACCCATTAATACATTTAAACACAAAATGCATATGCCATAAAGGGATATCCCAGGGCCTGCATTTTCCTTTTTTTTTTTTCCTTATCCCCTCCCCCAGAAATACAATTCCATGAATGTCTGTGGATTGTTCCGGACCAACCCCCCGCAGCCCTGCAAACGGGCTGTTTGACTTCATTCCTCTCACGGGCAAAACACGCTGGAGGATCCATCAGGCCTTTGTTTTACTTTTCCCTTCCTGGAAGTTTCATGACGGGGATGCTGCTGCCGGGTGAATTTAGGTGAACCCAGCATGTGTGGGGCTGCTTCCTACGACTGAGGTGATGAGGGGGGGGGTTGGAGAGGAGGGGTGGTGCCAGTGATTTCGGGAACAGAGGAAGGGTGTAGACACATCATCAAATTAGTAATGGACCTACATAAACATAGTCCTGGGTATTATTGGTGTGTAACAGTCTCTGGTAGTGCTCTCAGGACAAGAGAGTGCACCTGGGGTAAGTAAGAGCCTTGTGTCCGTGCCCTCCTGAAGATCCCCTCCCAGCTCCTGTGCTAACTCGTTGTCCCCATTGAGAAGGCCCACACTGCAAATCTATTAGCACACATTGTCAGAAGCCTTATCCTTCACCTTCTAAGCCTCACATCCATTTAAAGCCTCTTAGAAGTCCACAGCTCGTCACCTCATGCCACCAGGACCAGCACAGGTGCTTGGTTCAGGCTACTGACAGTCAAATGGGGATGGCAACCCTTGGTTCTTAAGAAGGGCACCCCCTCCCTGCCCCCATCGTCCTGTCCCCCTAAAAAGCATGTGGAGTGTGAGGGGAGAGCAGAGCAGAGAGGTACACACAGCACTGCATCCCAGTCCTACCACGGGCTCCTGGTGCCTGGGCAGCCTCTTCTCATGAGAATTCTCCCAATTTCATTCTCCGTGGGGGTGTCCCTGCTAACCAGAGCACAGAAACTGGGTGTGCAGTGCCCAGAGACCAGGAAAAAGATAACTCCTAGGCAATTCATCCCACAAGTGCAGGTGTGTACCCTCTCCCTGCTGACTTCATAGACCAAACTTCAGTTATCTACGTGTGGCTGAAATGAACCCAAGCTTAAATCTTCCAAGTATCAGGTCTTTGCAAAATGGAGACAAATCTGCACAGCAGGAAACTTTCATTGCTTCTTTAAAATGCCTGGCATGGTTTCAGGTACTCAAAGCATTAATGTCATGAATAAATATGCAGTAGCAATTATTAACAAAATCATGAATGCTCACTACATTATTCTCAGTCTTATACTTTGGGAATGGATCATCACATCCAAACTCCATTCCCACCAGATTAATTCCAACAGGCAGAGTAGAGAAGTGATTCCCACTCTGTGTTTTCTGTTTTTTGTTTGGTTTTCATTTTGTTTATTTGTTTGTTTTTATTTTGGCTGATGCACAAAATGCAGAATAAAAGAAAAAATAAAAGGGATGCCAGGGATAATGTCTGACTATCTGCACAGCACGGAGCTTCTCAGAAGGTTGAAATTTGTCCTCCTTACCCATCTCCACCACTCCTTGCATGCAAACCTGGCTTGGTTATGAACCAGTGCAGAAAACAGGAGGAACTTGAGGGAGAGGCTTGTGAAGAACAGAGTAACTATTGCAGCACTTCAGTATTAAAAGATTTTTGCAGAATATGGGACTACCACACTTGCCATAATGGTTTCTTGTTCATTGTTCACCACAGGTTTTTAAGCACCCAGGCATATCTCCTGCATTAGCCTCCTCGAGAAACCAAAAGCCATTTGGGATCTTCTTTCTATTCCCTGTGCAAGCCTTCACCATTCCATCTCCCCCTCCACCAGAAGAGATTTTTTGGGAGTTGCCAGCTTAACATGCATGAGATGAGTACTAGCACGGTACTCTCAGCTGTACCTGCAGTTAATTTGAGTCTGAATGGCTTTACAGCCTTTCCAAAAGAAGCAAGGCAGTGTTAGGCATCTTCGATGGATAGCACTGTAAATCACTGTGGAACACAGATCAGTGCAGAATTACAGTCACAGACCTAACTTTAGGATAAAATATTGAACCTGTGGATGAGTCTTCCCACCCAAGTGCCAGAAAAATGAACCACTGTGAGCCAGCAGACTACAAGGAAGCAAGGACCCAGCCTTGGATGCTCCCAGTACCAGTGAGGTGGGGCAAGGGTGACCTTTGGGAGTACAAATCAGTAGTTCTTGTGTTTGGCAAAGGACAACAGTGTGCACCTTACAAAGGCTAAGGAAGTCTGAGGAGCTCCCAAAGGATATTACAAAACCATCACAAAGGGTAGATTGTGCTGCACGACTGCTTGCTGCCTCCACTCTTCCTGGAGTCCTGGCTGCTACGTGAGGAGCTGGGACTAGAGCAGAGATGAGATCCTGTGGGATGTGTATCACATACCTGGCATGTACCAGCAAAGGGAAGGGTCTTGCCCAGCCCAGTCCAGATTTGCCAGAACTTTGGCAAGCTTACATTCATACATTTCATACATTTTTTCTAATTTTTTTTTTAAAAGACAAGCAGTGCTATTACATCTGCCAGATGAAGAACTCAGAATTTCTGGTGGTCAGGCATCAACATTCTCTTTTTCTAGCATGTTATTTTATTTAAGGGGATTTTTGTTGTGTGGCATTCAAGCCTGTCTCACCCTCAGCCAGTCCCTACACTCACCTGATCAGCTGCTTTTTCTTAGATGCTCACAAAATTATCTCAACTGCTCCAGTTCTCTGACCCTTTATCTTTGTAACTGGAGCAGCCAGAGGCAATGAGAATTGTGTAACCATCTCCCCACTTTCCAAGTGCTTGGGACAGGTCTGGTAACTTTGATAATATATCTCATGGGATACACAGAGTAAATCTCTATTAGATTATGCCATTTATAAATAAACTGGCTGCTTACTATGGGAAGAAATTAAAAAGTCATTATTTTAGTTGTTGGATGAGAGAGGCATGACACACAAATACTTCAGCTAACATTAAACTATCAGGCAAATGATGAAAAATAATTCTTTTACAAGTTATCTGATGCCGTGTAATGAAACTTACAACTGCTAGACTGAAAGCCAGCAATGTAAAAACAGCAGGTTGTCCATAATCTACTATGGTACAGAATCACTCTACACAGACAGGGCTGAAAGAGTAGATGTGTGGCCAGGTGATAAAGAACTTCAAGAGTAATGTGTTTTATAGCAGGAATGGCATCTGTGATAAACCCACAACCATCCTTAGACACTGGAACTCGGCATCAGATTCACTGTTAAAATATAAAACACATGATGAGCATGCAGTGACATCAAAAGAAGTGCAATGTAATGGTGTTCAGATGTCTCCCCTCAAGCTTGCAGAGAAGCTGCTCTGAGGGTTGCTTTTTCTAGGAGCCCTAAATAATTCCCT